GCTTCTCCTTCTCCCACTGCCCCTGCTTGTGTTCCCTCTCTCGCGCTCTCTCTCTCTGTCAAATAAATAAATAAAATCTTTAAAAAAAAAAAAATGAAATCTTAAAAAAAAAAGAATCACTTGGGGAATCTTTAAACATTCCCGAAAGTCACGCCTCCTGCAGACCAATTAAATCACATTCTCTGGGGATGGGACACAGGGATCAGTAGTGTTTGAAGTTCCCAGGTGACTCCAATGTGCAGACAAGTTTGGGAACTGCTAATACAGGCCTCTTTTTCAAAACTCCTCTGGTGATTTTAATATGCAGGTAGGATTGAGAATCACTAGTCTAGCCTAGTGGTTTTCAAACGTGAGCATGCATCCAGATCACCTAGAGGCCTTGTTGAAACTCAGATCCATTCTCCAGTTTCTGATGCAGCGGGTGTGGGCTGGGGCCTGAGAGTGTGCATTTCACACCACTTCCCAGTGATGCTGCTGCTGGTCTGGGGACCACACCAGGAGAACCACTGCCGTGATGGAGCTATTGTCTGATCCCAATGGGAGAAGCCACAGGGCTGGAGTGGTGACCAGAGCGTTTTGACTGGCAGGGCCCTGTGCTTATAATCATGGGGTCCTTGGAATTGGAATCAATGGGGTTTTTTTTAAGGTGCTGCTTGGCACACACAGAAGGGTCATGGGAGAGACCATTTTGTGAACCATTTCAGAATACTGGGCCCCGTGAAGGTGTTTGCAGAGCTGGAAAAGGGATGCGTGAGGTCAGGACACAGAGTCATTGGTATGGGCTGTGGTTCAGGCCACAGGTTGGGCAGGGAGTGCAGTGTGGTTAGTGATCTGTTTCATGGTTCAAGGACAGAACATGGATCAGGAATTGGCTATATTTTGAGTTTACCTGAAGGCTTCCACAGCCAGAGTGTTGACAATATAGTAACTAAATACTACTGTTCTACCACTTGTTTCTCTGGCAACATTTATTGTGTGTCTCCTCTGTTTCCAGCACTGTGCCAGTGTCCTTGCCCCTGGGTGCTCTGGGCCAAATGGGGATGAGAGACAAAAACAAGCACATAGAAAATAATCACCAACTCCCAGAACTAAGTGAATTCAGCAAGGCTGCAGGATACAAGATTAGCACATAAAAATCAATTGCGTTTCTATATACTCAAAATGAACATGTGGAAATGGAAATTAAGATGTAATACCATTTACAGTTGCTCCAAAGAAAATGAAATACTTACGTCTACATCTAACAGAGCAGGTATAGGAGTTGTATGCTGAAAATTAAAACTTGCTGATGAAAGAAATCAAGAGGACCCAAATAAATGGAGAGACACGCTGTATTCATGGATTGGGAGACTCAGCATAGTAAAGATGTCAATTCTCCCCAAATTGCCCTATAAACTTAATTCAGTTCCTACCAAAATCCCAGCATATTTTTTTTTTTTGTAAAAATAAAGCTTATTCTAATAATTACGTGGACAAGCCAATGACTTTGAATTGCTAAAACTTTTTTTTTTAAGATTTTATTTATTTATTTGACAGAGAGACAGCGAGAGAGGGAACACAAGCAGGGGGAGTGGGAGAGGGAGAAGCAGGCTTCCCGCCAAGCAGGGAGCCCGATGCGGGGCTCG